TACCTCGACGCCAGAGTGTTTGCCTAAACAGGGCACTCTAGCCATGCTTAGTTTAGCAGAGTCTAACCTGAGTTTTTGTCAACCTGAGTCTTAACTTGTTTTTGTCTTTGCCTCTCGGCAGGAAGTCATCCTGCAAACTGGATGTTTCGGACCTTCTCTCTCTGGAAGGATCAACTGAGCTTCTAACTGAGCTGGGGTTCCAAACAGGAAGTTTGGATCCACTTTCCCCAAGAGGTCGTTTGAGCTTCACACTGAGCAAAGGTTTCATCTGCACCGCAGCCTGTTCCACTACCGCAGGAAATCTGAGTGGCAGTCAGCTTCTCCATTCACCAGGGAACAACCGCAGTCTGAGTAATCTCCGTCCGCCCACCACCAAACAAGACAATCTCTGGAACATTCCACACAGACTGGATTCCATAAAGGACACCTTTTCCTGGAGAAGTGAGTCTGCAAACTATTCCTCCAATTCAAGCCTAAGAATCAAATGTCCCACTGAGCCTGAACTAACCGCAGTGTCTTCCCCTCATCTTCCAGTTCCGGCAGAGCAGAGTTCAGAGAAACTCTGCACCGAGCTTAATCTCTTCAATAAAACCCGTTTAACTTTTCCTCTGTGTCTCTCTGTTTGGACTTCTGCATTTTGGGTCAGACCTTTAATTAAATCCTGACACCTAACAGGAACTAAAGTAAATCCATCATTTCAGATATTTCGATCCCCTGGAAAACTTTTTTCCCTCTGCTTGGTGATTTCCGCTCCTTTTCCTGCTCTGCCCCTTCAGATGTTTGATCCGTCTGAGACTCTGCTTTCTCTCTAACCTGTCCAGCACCAGTTCCTCCAGTTTGTGCAGGTCACAGGCGATGTACTCCAGGGCCATGTCCGTGATCCGGGGGCACCAGGACAGGTCCAGGCTGCGGAGCTTCCTCAGGTTCTCGGCCACCAGCTCCACGCCGTCGTCCGTGATCTTGGAGCAGCCGGAGAGGCTGAGGGCGGTCAGGTTGGGGAGACTGTGGACCATGTTCACCACCCCATGGTTGGTGATCTCCCAGCAGGACTGCAGCCGTAGAGTGTGGGTGGTGTAGCCCTAGGAAGAGATTTTCATTGTTTATCAGGACTAGCAGCCCTCTGATGACTGACTGGAGCAGGAAACATGGTGAGATGTTTGGAGAGCCCACCTGTTTGGCTGTGAAGTAGGCCATGGCTGTGTCAGTGACATGGTAGGCCTGCAGGCTCAGCTCTGACAGGTTGGGCAGGAGCTGGGAGATAGCAGCGATGGCGTCATCAGCCACATTGATGCAGTCGCTGACGCTGAGGGAGGTCAGCCTGGCGTTGAGGCTGGACCACAGGCCGGCTTCTGTGAAGTCGTTGCATCCTGACAGCTCCAGATGCATCAGGCCTTGCATTTGCTCCAGCATGACCTGCAGAGTAAAAGCCAACAAATCCAGCATCAGGACGGAGGAACTGAACGTCAGAACACCTGAACAGCAGCGTCTGGAGGCAGCCGGGCTTCTGGAAATGTAGAAAAAAGGAGAGAATCTGAAACGCATCGATCTGCACGTCCTTCTCCAGGACGAGGCCTGAACTAGGGTGACCAGACGTCCGGCGTCCAGCAGCATCCAGCAGGACGCCTGTCTGTCCTCCTTTATGAGGCACCAGGGCAGGTTTTTATTTTTACTGGCCTGCAGCACAACATCCAATCAGAAAATGTAAAGAAGTGCATCAGATATCAGGACTAACAGATGATTGGCTAAGATGCTGCCGTGTCAGATAAATATCTGCTTGTCATTGGTTAAAACAGAAAGCAAGGATCAGAGTGCTGTCAGGAGGGTTACCCTGAGAAGAACAAGGTTCACCTCATGCGTCCCAGCTGACCCCCCCCCCCTCCTGGTGTGGTGATTCTTTTTTTAGCCCCCCTTTGTGTGTGAAATGATTTTTTTAATTGTTTGACTCAAATCTGCTTTGAATTAGATGCATATTAGTGACATGAACACATGGAAACCAATTATTATTCAGCAACAAACTTTGCTGAAACAAATAAGAATCTTAAACATAAGCCTGTCCTGCTGCACTTCGATCTGTGAAAATGAATAGAAAACAATAAATTAATAAATAAATAAATGTTGCAGATTTTTGGTGCGACAGCAAACTTGTAAACATATTTGTGTCTTAAATGCAATGAATGTAGGCTACAGTTATAAAACAGAACAAATGCTCCATAATGTGGCGACTTTATCCGCCTGTATTTCCTCCTGCAGCAGTGAGGATTTGATTGTCTTTAAATGCTGCAGAGTAAAACTGCGTCAGTGTTTAAATTCCTCCGTTCGTCCTCCATCCTGCTCTGATGCCTCCCGCTATCTTCTCTGTGAGCAACACTTGGCTCGACCAATGGGATGAGGGGATTCTGGATAGTTACATATTCGAGTCAGCTAATTGGTCACAATGCAGGACAGGGACAAGTTTACCGTAAGTTTGGTATCTAACGTGCCTTAGTTCTTCATTTTCCATTAGCTTTTTACTGATTGTTTTTTACTCTCACAGTAATTCGGGACAAAGTGCGTTCCTTTTCCACTGAATACGGGACATCTGCTTCTATTTGTAAATACGGAACCACTCCGTTTTTCAAGGGACGGTTGGCAACCATCAACCTGTGATTTAATCACCTGAAAGTCCACATCTTGACCATCTGAGAAGATACATATTTTAGCTTGTTGGAGCGACCTAGAACTGCTGAGACTCCTCCAAACAGTCTGACAACTGGAACCTAATGTAGCCGCAGCATAGCATCAATATTATGCAGCTAGCATCAATATTATGCAGCTAGCATCAATATTATGCAGCTAGCATCATTA